ATTTAATCCGTAAAACCCATTAATTTTCAATGAAGGTTGCATGTTAAAGAACCTAAATTAAAATTTAGTACGTTTACATCGATTTGATTATTGAAAAATAATTAAAGGCGTTGTAAAAAAACATTTATGAGTTTTAAATCTGGAAATTAGTTCTCGTAATTTATTTGATGTTCATCGGGTCACAAATCGAAATTTTCTTATGTGTTGTGCGATAAATGTTTACATTATGGCTCGAGTCTACTCATCTGTAGAATAAGTAATTCGAGAAAATAGAGCCCCGCAGCGAGTTTCGTTTCGTTCAGTACACGTTATATTCGTGTAAAGAGTGAAAGTTTTAGAATCATACGCTACTCGATTTGACTTTGTGCATAACGATGGCGAACGACGAAGGGCGTGAGGAAAGCCAAAAGAAGAGATTTAAGCATGCGGAGCACTTTGATAACGTCTATTCAGAAAATTTAAAGAGCTTACGAGAAAAGGTCAATTGGAATAACGTAGCTGAGCGAACACAATTTCTTTTCGATTTTTATGACTTAATTAGCAATTGGGGAGGCAGACTTCCAAATCTCCGGGACATTTTTCGTCCCGAAGAAATTGATTGGCTTCTCATAGAAGACGTGGAGAACTACATCGCCGATCATAGCAACGGAATTCCACTCATCGAGTTTGTGATCATGACCGGCTATGAGGACGAGCACGAGCTCATAATTGATGAAAACGGCGAGCCACGTTTACGTCGCACCACAGCAGTGCATATTGTTTCTAGACAAATTACGTTACCTACTAAAAATATACTAGATGAAGATGAAGATGAAGATGAAGATAGAGAAGGAAGTGAACCTAGTACAGGTGAAGATGAAGATGGAGATAAAGAAGAACGTGAACCTAATACAGATAAAGATGAAGATGGAGAAGAACGTAAACCTAATTATGATGAATTATGCAAGTACTTCGATATCGCCCATACTCTATTCAAAATTTACAACAGATTCGAGGCGAACTACATCGATGACGCCAACATCACGCATTTCCACGTGGCCTGCATGAGCGGCTGTCACACCGTCGTCGAGAAATTCCTCGAGCTCGGCCAGGATCCCAATTGCGGGTACGACTCAATCGAAATCCCGCTACACTTGGCTGTGGACTTTGCCCACCAGAGAGTGACGGAAACGCTGCTGAGAAGCGACATCATAGATCCGAATATAACCAACTCTTCAGGAACGACAGCTCTGCACTATATTTGCATCAATTATGGTGACCAATATGATTTGGCGAAGCTATTCTTCGATATCAATGACGAAAAAGGTCGGGAGGTGCAAGTTGATGCCAAGGACGAGTGGGACGAGACTCCGCTGCAGTTAGCTCTGAAGTTCGACAGATGGAAGTTGGCCAAGTTGCTGCTGGAAAGAGGCGCCGAGCCGTATTTGGACGACAATGCCGGCGGACCCTCTTGCCTGCATGTTATTTGCGACCCAGCCAATGATGACTTGGTGGAGGAGATACTCAGGATCTGCGGCGAAAGAGAAAATCCCGTGCCGCTCGACGGTACGGACAAGCTGGAAAACACGCCATTGCACTTGGCTATGCAACACGGCAACAAGAGGGTCGCATCGTGGCTGCTGGAAGAAGGGGCCAATCCAAATGTACCCAATAAAAAGGGATTGACTCCTTTGCACATTATTTGCATGCGTGACAGCGACGACCCTGAATTGGCGAGGATGTTGATTGAGCTCAGCAACAGCTATTACCATCCAGTGCAGATCGAAGCCAAGGATAAGTTGGGTCGGAGACCGATAGACTTTGCTGTAGACAAGAACAATGACAACTTGGTAAAATTTCTGCGGGATCGTGGCGCCAGTTCGGATGCTATCGAACCACAGATTCCTATGAACATTATGGTGACTCTGGTGGTAGTCCAGTTGATTGTATATTGGATGATGCATAGGTTGATGCGAGATCGGGATCGGATACCTCCACGCTGAGTACGGATTGGTCAAAAAGTTAGCGGGTCTTGACGAATGTTAATATGGTAACGAGGAGTTTGGGAGAAAAGCGAAATAATAATGATAACTCCGAAACCGTCGCTCTACGACCCAATTTCATCACGACCCGAAAAGGCGAAATAACTAGTTACGCATAAGGAATAAAATAAAAAATGATTGAGAAACTAATAGAGATTTATAACGTATTAAATTGGTAGCTCCACGACAAAAGTTAGCGATATGAGCTATCCTTAAAAATAAGAAACTAACAAGTTTTATTAATGTATATATTTTTTAGACTCAATTCGATGTGTGTAAAGGTACAAATGGTCGAATTTCGACATTTTTTTAACGTTAATTCTACTATTATTTCTACATATTAATTACATATAGATCTACTATATGTATAATTATTAACATGTGAAAATAAAAAATATTTGAAGATCAAACATTCGAAAACAGTAGTATATTTTATTCGTCCAACATGAAAATCGAAAATATAAATTTTTGCACAATTAAACAACCACAATAATTTTAGAACTTTTTATTCGAATTGGCAAGACATTTTTTATCTCTATCGTTAAATAGATGGATAGCTAACGAAACTTTTTTGATATTGATTGACGGTCCCATTTTCAAAGAGGTTATTCTACGGAAGGAACAACTCACACATATATATATAGAGACGTGTGTCACAAACTCAGTCTAGTATAAAAATATATTATCAAAATCTGCGACAAACAACTGCTTGTGAAAATATAATTTTAATTGATCACAGAGCTTCTTCTATAATTGGGAATTTTAAACTAGTTATCTTCAAGCAATTTTATTATCCCACTTCATAATTTACTTGTTCATAATTAGATGCTCAATGAACTTCCAATGAAGGTATTTCGGTTCTTAAAATGCTATTAATAAACAGCTGTGATAGTAATGATATCGAAGTCTTTTGTCCACTTTTCAAACAAATTGTGATTTTCAAAGCAGCAAATTAGATCGTTAATATTTACAGTATCCATCGTTCAAACTATGTGAATTGCTAAAAGCGAAATGATAAGCGCATGTGACCATTCTAGTGAGCATTGATACATGAAAAAATCTTTTTTATGAATAAAATATGCCAACGTTGGCGAATTCACAGTCCCTGCTATAATAGTCTGGCTCTTTTCTTTCACTTCTCTGTTTCTCTCTCTTATGCTTGTTTTTTGTCTCTCTTTCTCTGTTATGCTTGGAGCGCGTGTTGGACGGAAAATTGAAAATGTACCTGATAATAGGCAAAATCAAAATTATCAACGTACGCGAATTCGCCAAACAAATGCGAAACGTGTGCAGGTGTAGAATCCAGGCGCAACGTTGAGATATCTCAGGAGCCGCGTGTGCAACACTGGAGATAGTGATATTTCCGGGAAAATGGAAATACGCCGTGGTGCCGCGCCGTGCGAAATTGCAATTTAAATGAGAGGAATGCGGGGAAGATATTCGTGAAGCCGATGTTGCTCGGCTGCTCAGGGCGCGCGGATCGCATCCCTTATACCCGCCACGTTCGCCATTATACTATCAAAAATGTAAAGTAGTTCATTTCCCTCGAGTACATTATGTATGTATGGGGTGAGGAAGAGAAGGAGGAGGAGGTGAATATAAAAAAAGCCACGAGCTATATATCGCAGTTATGGCTATGGTGAAATATCTGAATTCGAAACAACGAGCTGTGAAATAGAATAAGCGCGTCGCGCGGACCAGAGTCGCAAAAAAATTCCATTATATAGTTTCTGACGCGCACGCGGGCTTCCACATACACACACTACACAACACACGTACATAGATTCATTTACAGTAAATCGCAATTCGCATGAGCGACGAACGTGTGTGTGTGTGTGCACTATATACTGTATGTAACAACACGTAGTATGTGTGTAAGCTTGTCTCGAGCGTCAGAGCTGCAATGTATAGGATTCTCGGGCGACGTCTATGCGCGCGCGCGCGTGAGTTTTCATTTTTCGCGACTTGGATTTATGATCTTGGAGTCGACGCGACAACGACTTCGGCTCTTTGTTGGCGTTATTTCGCTACAGTCGACGCGAGAGCCCGACGACAGTCTCTATATACGTATGTGCATGTTGTGTTTTTTTTTCTCTCTCTCTTTCTCGCGTCGACCAAGGGTAGTGTGTATACAGGTACATACATGTGAGTGTGTGATGTAGAGAAAGAGGAAATTACATTTTTGTCGCACTCGTCCGCGGAAATGAAAGGTCGAGTGTTAAATCGGGTCAGTCGAGCTCTAGCTAGCTCCCAGAGCTTTTCGGCTCACTCTCTCTCTGGCTCTCTGCGTTGTGCTGCGCGAGGGGGGCGGGGTGGCTTTCAAAGCTCGGTACTCGAGATGAGATAAAGCGACAACGACAAAAAAAAAGTAGGCAGGCAGGCAGGCAGGCAACAGAAAAAAAGGCGCAGAAATTAGCATTGAATAAGTCACGCTCGTCTCGATTAATCACTCCGCTGCGCGGCATATTATATAGTCGGATCGCATCTACTATTCCAGTCTAGTGTTAAATGACACGCCTCTGGCGCGAGCGAGCGAGAGAGCTGCAGCACAGAACGGGGAACGTGTAAAAATCGACGCACGTGCTCGGACATTTAGCAGCGGAATGAGCGCGGCACAGTTGCAAAAAAAAGCTCTCGTCGGCTTCCTCTCTTTCTCGCTCTCCCGCTCGCATGCATGTGCACGCGGCGGCGGCGGCGGCGGAGGCTCGAGCGTCGTCGTCGTCGTCGTCATCGTCATCGCGTGTGCGGCAGCGCGCGCACTTATTGCGCGTTCGGGGGATAGAACTGATAAATATATATACGTGTATGTATCGGTGCGATGCTCGTGTGCGATTATATACATGTGTATTCGAGCGCATATATAACACATGTAGCTCGCTTGCTGTACATGTGTGATCTACACGCATACACAGAAAGAGAGAGAGAGGAGGCGCGTATTCAAGTGCAAAAGACCCAAGTCGAGAGGCGCTCGCTCGCGTGGACTACATGCAAAGCACGCGAGCCGTTCGCACGTATACAGAGAGCCGTGGCGGCGCAGCTTTCTCACTTCTCGACGCTGCTGCTGCCTCAGTGTCTTTTCAGCTACAATCGCTTGGCTCGCACGCGCATATATGCACTTTCGTGTGTGCTCTAGTCTGTGCCACAGCTGCTGCCACTGCTAGGCCATTCGATCGACGATAGTTGTCGCTCGTCGCCCTGTCCAAGCTCGTCTCGTCGCTTGGCACTTGATAGTTTTCCCACGCAGTAGCATTAAAGCAGTCGAAGCAGTGCAAGTTTGACAAAATGTCGAAGAAAACCGACACCAGCTTCATTGTTTACAAGATTTTGACGCCGGAGCACGTGAAGGAGGCGACGCATCTGCAGATCGAGTCGTCGTTCCAGGAATGCCTGACCATCGGCTTCGGCATCGCCGACATACCCGGTGGCACCGACGCCGAGGGCTTCGAGGCGCTTTTGCGCAGCATCGTCTTGGACGGCTTCAGCATCGGAGCTTTCGACAGCAAGAGCGGCCAGCTGGTCGGCGTGTGCTTCAACAAGATGCATGTAAGTCTCGCGCGACGCATTCTCTATTATTTCCCTCTCTCTATCTTCGCATACCTGTCCTAAGCTCTTACTCGGGCTAGATCAGCGCGATCGGTGCGTTTATTTATAGAAATTTGACAGAGAGCCGCGTGGCTAGCCAGCGTCTCTCTCTCTCTCTATGTTTGTGTTGTGTCTCTACTACGCCGCGAAGTTTACGAAATTCGGCGCAGCGTCTCTCTACGCGCTGTCTATACTAGTTTCTGCCGAGTTATTTGCGCGAATCGGCCAATTAACATTGAAAATAAAAGATGAGTTAGAGACGTGTAAGCAGCGACAGATACGAAAATATTTGCCAATATATACCGCGTGCACGTATACGAGAGAGTGCGAATATAAACGAGCGAATATAAAGCAATATGCAAAAGATAACACACAGATGAGCTAGCATGTGCACGCGTTTGTACATGCAAAAATAAGCGAATATTTTATCGGCGCGCGATGTCTGGGATGATTGTTAAACATGCCAATTCTTGACACCCGACGTTGTACGCGATCGCTCGTGTTTCTTTTTTTCTGCTTTACAATTTTATATATTATTATTGCCGCTCCGAGCTTGGCAAAATATTATTGTCGAGAGCGAGCTACCGAATATGATTTACCTACGGCTCTATAGCTATAACAAGGCTTGTTGACATTTATTATTGTTTACAGAACAAAGTCGAGAGGGACAATCCAGCACCACTGGAAGAAAGCGTCGAGGAAAACATGAAGCATCCGGCGACTCTCGATCTCATGAGTTTTATTTTCAAGGTATTTCCCATGGATATATACGCTCGTACGCGCTCCGTCATCCCGTGTACTACGACTCGGTAATCCCGTGACGCGCGACGACGACGACGACGACGACGTAGATGCGAATTATCGGCTGACGCGCAAATCGAGTCGCAGTCGAGTTTTACCCGTTGCGTGTACAGCAGAGGTCATCGACCCCTGTACATACCGTGTACTTGGACGCACTGCAACGATCACGCATAACTCGTCATTCGAGTTTTCGCTATAGGCTATAGTGCACGATCCGCGGTCACGGTGGTGTGTATCGCATTGAAACGAAACTCGCGCGAGGGGAAAAAAAGTCGAGCGTACACCGCCGAGTATAAAACGCAGATGTGCAGCTGCAGCAGCGAGACTGCGTACGTTAATGGGACGACGAGTAGGCGATATCAGTGTGCCCCTGAAGCGATCGCATAATATAATATAATCCCTCTCTCTATGCTTCTCGCGCACACACTCCCCCTTTTACGCGCGAGCGCGAGCTTTAATCAAGAGACAAATAGATGATCCTTGATTGAAACGATGAAGTAGGGCAGCGGGTCAATATCACGCTTCTCTCGTCGACGTTGGCGACACGCGCTTCGTATTATGTGTGTGCCCGTGCAGCCTGTGTAAGTGTGGGTACTGGATGCCGTGCAGTACGAGTGCGGTCGTGCGCGCGCGCATCGCTCTAAAAGATCACCTTTGATTCTTCCGTTTCGCGCGATATCGAGGCGCGAACTTGCGAGCGCGACGAGCACAACCGACTACTTACTACCCGCGTCTATGTCATTGTCATCGATGCAAGAGCCGCCGCGTAAATCAGAAGAACTTTTCAATTACGTCGATTGGCGCGAGCCGAGCTCCGTCCGCCTATGATTATGATTAATCAGATGTTTATGAAGGAACTGATATTCATATGTCCGCGTATCCTTGACACTTTTCTCTGGTTTTATAAGGTGTCGATTGGTTATCGCATATCTCGCTCTCTCGGTACAGAGTTGAAAAAAAAAAAAATATTAAAAAAAAAAGAACAGAAGAAAAAAATAATCGGGCATATCGATAATCGAGATCATCGCGGAGCTCTTATATTGTAATTGATACGCATATTTTTTCTCCCCTTCCAGTAGATATCGTACTATATACCTCGCGCGTATTATATACTCTATAGCAGCATGAAAAGCGAGGCGTGTTGATCACGTGCTCCACGCTGTACATTTTTCCTCTATCGGTGGAATAACAAAATATTTAGTGATTTCAATTTCTTCATTCATAGGAATGAGCTTGCGCGCATACTTGGCAAATTCAAACTTCTTTTTTTTCTCTGCGTGCATAAAATTCAGTGCGCTCATTAGTTTGGCGAAGAATTTCATCGGGAAATTTTTCAATTCACCGATACGCGCATGCCACCGCTGCTGCTGCTGCAGCAAAGAAATCGCCGCGATAACAGCCGACTAGGTCGATTATACGTATATATATTTTGCCAACTTTTTTGCTCGTAAAAGCCCCCAAGTGCCACGATATATATATCGGTACGGCGAAAGGTGCGAATACAATCAGCGACTATACACGCGGTGCCGATAAGGACACACTCCGGCAGCAGCAGCGGCAGCGGCACAGCAAGCGATCCAAAGTCCCAATTGTGTGCCGCCTGCAGCTCGTGTTTATCCCGTCACGTTGTCCGAGGTGATAAGAAAAGCGCGACAGGAAGGGAGTTACGGGATAGTAACGTCTAGCCGTGCGCGTGTATAGCGTATAGCCTATAGCGTACGTGTATAGAGCCGCTCCGCATACATACGCCAGTATAACAGAGCCCTGCACTCTGTGTGTGTGTGTGTGTGTGTGTGTGTGTGTGTTGTCGCGGGTGGCAATCAAAGGAAAAGGTCACGCGTGCACACGGTAAATCGTGCCGACAATGTTTCCGTGACTCGTTTCGCGCGCGGCGGCGGCAGCGGCTCTCTCCTATCTCAATGGCGCAATTTCGTTATCGCGAAACACACGCGCATATGTCATTTGGGTTGATTGACCGGATCTTTGCTTACTCCGCTGTTCTTTTTTTTATTTTTTTTTTCTTACACTTGCAACTGTAGCTAATATAATTGCGCGCGCGCTTGCAGCTGCAGCATGACGTCTCGCGTCGCTGAAGTAGCGTGAAAAATATATCGACCAGCGTGACCGGGACGTAACCCGGTAGTAATGACGTATAAATAATCGATTACGCGGGCGAGCTCGTGCGTACGCACGCACTTATATAGTAGCCAATTGAAATTAGAACATTAAGTCGCGGAATAATGCAAATAATGGAGCACTGCAGATAAGCTCCTCAATACGTTGTTGCACGCGCGTACGTAGTGTTATATTTATTGCGCGGAGGGGGCTGCTGCTGCTGCTGCTCTCCTGCGCACAGCATCTAATGCATTATTTATCGGGGGGAGATATATATTAACCGGACTGCCCGATCCCGAGAGCCGAGCGTTAATTACCCGAATTTTTGCATTCGATCGGTCGTCGCTATCGGCGATATATAAAATTTTCAATTCGATTGAGCGTAAAGATCGGATTACTCAATGCAGCATTGGCCAGGCTCTCGGACGCATTATATGCACGCTCACCTAATCGATTTGAATACATTAAAAAGAATTCAAATGTTGCGTGTACTTTGCGTTATTTGCCTATCGACACGCCGTGATCGATGCTCGTTATTACCTTTAATTTGAGAGAGCGAGCGAGGAGAGAAAAAGAAGTAGAAAAAAAAAGATCGACTTCGATTCGCTAATGAGTCGCTGATTCGTATCTTCCGTTTTAATGCTAATCTGGTAGCTAATTAATTGTATTTTACACGCGCGAGCGAGCGCCTACGTAGATATATTATGTACAAAATGTATACATGCATGTACACGAACAATAATATACATACGTACGTACGTACCTGCCGACCGCACATATCGCGCATACGCAGGATATGTACAAAGGTTGAGACGTTCGGGGAGATACCCGCGCGCAGGTATCGCGCTTACGCATTTTCGTCGGCGTACACGCCCAATGCAAGGTCGAGCTCGCATTCTCGGATATAGCTCATATACATACTCGCCGTCACACGTAGTCCACCTTTCACCTGCGTGTACGGGATTCTCCTCCTTGTTTGCCTATCGGTCTCTCCTTTGCCGAACGAGTCGCCACAGCTTTTTTTCCTCTCTCGCGTATCGTAATAATAATAGCTTGTGTATACATGTGCGTGGCGCAGAGCCCGGGAGAGAGAGATAAACGATGTAATTCATGGACTTGCCTGCTAGAGCTTGAAACATTACAACTGTTACACGATGTAATTTACAACGATTATGCCATTATAAGTAGTCGGCATTATGCGAGCCAATTAGTCACTAGCCGCGCGATTATAAATAGCATTTAAAAATCAGATCGCACCTGCTTAGACTTGCAAAAAAAATCACGATAATCGATATATGTGAAAAAAAATCGTTTCATACGTGTGTATGTGCTCTTATTGCAGATCGAGGGGAGTGTAGACCTTTACGAGCTGTACAACGTGTCGCAGGCGCTGGAGATATTCTATATCGGCGTGGACTCGCGCTATCGGCGCTACGGCATCGCGCGGAATCTGATTCGCGCGAGCCTCGAGCAGGCGCGCAAAATAGCCCGCGAGCTGCGCGTCACCGAGCCGGACATCGCCTACGCCGTGTTCACCTCCAACTACAGCCAGGCCTTGGCCGAGAAATTCGAGTTCGAGTGGCTGTCGGGCATACGCTACGACCAGTACAAGTGCTACGACGGCAAGCTCATGAGCGATCGCATCGGCCCGGTCCATCAGACCGCCCGCCTGGGCGCTCGTCGCCTCTGATCACGACGATTATGAGCATACGCAGCTACACACACACACGGACACACCTAATTTTGTTTTGTATATATAATCCATAGTTTAGCATTTAAATTTTCATATATTCACACAGAGAGGCAGCGAGAGTCGAGTCTGGTATTTTGTGTATTCGCAAATACGGACGCGCGCGAGTATGACTGAAAATAATGGAAAATCTCTGTATAATTTATAATATGCGCATGTGAGCGAGTACATACGTGTACGAAAGTGCCGCACAAGCTCGTCCGCGGACATAATAGAAACTGTTTATAATCGAGATTAATAATTTTCATTCGAGTGAGCGTGCTTTGTCTAATTTTATATAATTTCCTTTGCGTAGTCCAAGCGTATAATCTTCTCTTTTAACACTTACGGATATACTGCATGCATCTGCGTTTGTTCATACTTCTTCTTTTATTTTTGCGCTGTAAAATTACGTTTTTATTCTTCAAAGGAAAAAAGTACGACGCCAGCTAAAAGCAATCAAGTACTCTAAATCCCTTTTTACAACTAAAACGCGCGCGGGCGTGTGCCTTTTTTTGCGCATAGTGTCTTGCGACTACGTTGCGAGCTAAAATTATACTCACTATTCACGTAAGCATTAAATTTTTACTGTTTCACTCGTTACGCAATGTACAAAAAAAAAAGGAAAAATTTAAACTACGCTTATTTAAATATTTTAGTTTGAAACGCCTCTTACTCGAGAGCTCGCGTATGCTAATGACCTGCGACTACAAAATTGACTTTTCAGCGTAAATATCTCGAATCTACGGCGTACTTCACAGTTGTAGTTCTGGTAAATGATAGTCAAGCAAAATCTAAGATCTAATTGAATGTTCAAAGAACATGATGTATTGTCCTCGTTATGTGCGTGTAACCGAGCGTGTAAGAACGACAAGAAAAAAAAAATCTCCGAAACAATAGTTTTTGTTCAATTGTGCAAAAACAAAACACGAATTCATCGCACAAGCGATCAGCTATGTACAAAAAGTATTTAAAAAATTAGAATAATAATTACGAGAATGTATGTGTCATCTTATTGTTTGTTCATGTATATATAACGATATACACACACATTGTTGCTAAGAAAACGTTATGTATAACATAATATAATAATATGTGTTATATCCCTGTATTTTTTGCTATGTTTCGAATGCTTAATAAATCGCCCTTGATAATTGTATATTTGCATTATTATCTGTTACGATGCACTGAATCATCGGTCGCGCGTCGCGCGGTCAATTTATCGCATTTGTTACATTTATCTCGATCAAATCGAAACGATTTGATAAATGACTTTTCACGGCAGGCATTGACATCATCGCCGCATACACATATATGTGCCTTATGCCTCGCGCCGCGCGTTGTAATTTTATCGATGAATTTTCATTAAACTCAACGTCATCGCTTGATTAAAAGCGATCAAAAATGCTTATTCTCAATTCTATTATTCAAATGAAACGAGGCTATTGCAAGGCCCAAGGAAAACATTTTGCTTTTCTCACGTATGCAGCCAGAGAGAGAAACAGAAAGAACGACAAGCAGCCATAAAGAAGATACGTGGACGATGTGTCTATCATTTTTTTGGTTTCTCTTCCTCGGAAATGTATCAGTCAAAATAACGCGAGCGAGAGGACGAGTCGCCGGTAAAAAAATATCGCGCAAACCATTATTTATCGGAGAGGTAGAGCAGAGAGAAAAAAAGCCACTTCTAGCCTCTCTTGTCACTCATATATAGATATAAGCCACAAACAGCAGCAGCAGCAGGGTAGGTAGAGCAGAAAAGACAAAAGCCTGGGGGTGTTGCTGCTTGTGCCGTGGCACGATATCTATAGGCACGATCGAATAATGCCGCAACGGCTGCGATGAATGGTCTCTGGCACACTGGATAAACCGTTTTTTTTCCTTTCCACTCGGATGCGCTTTATATATTTTTTTTCCTTTCCTTACAAATGCATTTGTTGGTCTGATTATCGTACCTTTGTTTTACGTGATGGAGTATTTTCCGCTGCATTATATTTTGCTATCTCGGTACTATAATATAACGCGCAATAAGTCTGTTATTGAACGGGAGCGAATGATATCTACTTTACGCGCGAATCAATTGAAATGATGATTGGAAGATGACTTGAAATTGTCCCCTCGTATTTTCATAAATAAATGTATTTGTCCTTACTCGGTGAACTTTTCGACGAAAGGTTGATACGCATCGATGGAGTATATAGAAGAGATGAAAATATCGAGGGTAAAGAAAAAAGTAAAAAAAAAAAAGTTGTGTCTCAAAATAATATCCCTTTCGGGCTTAATAGCTTTTCATCCTCGCTCGTTAAATTGGATATAAGCTTTTAGTCATGAAAAGGGAGGTAGAAAAGTGGATAAGACCGAACGGGAAGCAAGAAGGTGAGATAATGCAGCACACTTCACGGTCATTTAATTACCAAGCGTAAAAAGGTGCTATATAATAGTAACTATCTGGATATTTGCTATCCTGCCGAGTTACGCAGACATACGGCCAGACGTTCGTTCGTACACACACACACACACACACGTGCACACGTTTATATTTTTTTTGTGTGTGCTCGCAGGTATATATATATGGCGCGCATCTAGGATGTATAAATGGGTGGGGTGGTCCCGTTTTAAACGGGACATTAACTTGCAAGCTCACGAGCGAGTGGTCGGCGTGTATATACGTGCGCTGCGCTCGTTTTCCTGCCACACGGATGAGATATACGCTGCTCAAGCGCTCGAGCTTAAAGCAACACACTGTGTGTATAGCCCAGGTGCTGGAATCCACACACACACACACACATACGTCACGATGGGCGTAAAGATTTTGCTATTCTCCGGCCGTTTCTGCCCTTATTTCGCTCGTGTGCCCCTGCATCGAGTAACAGCGTACGAGGCGCGTAAACGAAGCTGCCGCGCGGGACAATAAAAATTAATGCACGCACATCGAGGGTGCACATTTTCTTCATAACATGTGTGTATACAGAACATAGAATGTATACGTACCGGTTGGCGAACAAGGCGTACGAGCGGCTTCAACGAGATCCTCTCTGCTGCCCGGTGGCGCCTCGAGCATACCTGCCGCGGCGTTGGCCGATGTTTTGACGCACAGCAGGCTCAGCGCTGTAATTCATAAATACGCACAACATGTAGTACGCGCAATCGTCTATATGGAGCTTTATCAATCATAAATGTGCAACTAATGAGTTTCATTGAAAGCTGCGTGAGCTCGAGAGGTACAAGAGCGGGGGCACAACGCACGCAGATAAACATCTGCGAGCGCGAGAGCAATTGTCTATCGACACTATAGCAGGCCTTGATCGTTCGTTCGTTTTTTCTCTTCTCCGTCTTCAATTTCGAATCGCAGCGGCGAGATTTATCGATCGCTTCTATATATATGTATGTGCGTTATATACGCGTTGGCGCGTGCAGCGGATCATGCGAAAGATAAATACACGCGTACCGTTGATTTTAATACCTCGACTTCTATTTTATTGGATTGCTCATCGAAATTTTAATTAAATTTCGCAATGAAGAGTATATCGTTGGATTTTTTTTTCCATCAGCGGAGCGCGCGCAACTAGCGTCGGTGGTGTGCTATACCTACCGCTGGTGCTGCTGCTGGCAAAGGACACGTCGCATAAATAAGTGTCGCAAACATTTTCCCCCTCATCTGCCGGACGTTTTCTCTATGCGCTGTGTGCTTTTGCGTATACATAATGTTGATTTTTTATTCAAAAGCGAGCGAGAATAAAAATGCACATATGGCGAGTCCAGTCGTATAATAGCTCCTTACCATGTGTTGCCTTCCACCGACGCTGCTGCTCTTTACTTTGCGCGCGACTGACCCAGTTCGCAAAGCGCATAAAAGCTCGAAATTTTCAACTAATTAAACGTATATGAGCTCGTCGTATCAACGAACGAAGAAGAGAGAAAAGAGAACATTTTTTTTCTCTCCCCCTTTCTTTTTATGCGCTCCGCGCGCGTCCGACGAGCGATATTATACGCGAGGCAAAAATTATGCTCTGCGATACACACACATCCGAAACTTTGCGAATCGCTGAGCAAGCTCCGAGGCTCAAAAGCTGAAAGTGACGCGCTCGCGTCCACTATTTTCATTTGCCACGGCTCTACATGTGAGCGCGAGGCGCTTCTTGCTAAAAACTGCTGCAGCTACAGCTCAACGCGCCTAGCGAGTGAGTTGAAGGAAGTGCAGAGATGAATAAAAAAAAGACAAGATTTGGCCGGGTGAAAAGAGGAAGAGCGAGAGAGAAAAGGCAGTCATTTGAAAAGGGCAAATGGTTTAACAGCAGTAGCTGCTTATGAATATATACTAAGCGATGCTTTTCTTCCTCACTGGCGCTCTTTGTGCTATTGCTCTCGAGCTTTCCTTTAATGCTAGCCGTTGGCCTGTTTGCTCAAGTATAAATGACATTTGGCTTCTTCTTTTTATGCTTCGGTATATGTATTTCTCGGGGGCACAAAAAAAAATGAATTTCGTTCACTAGATAAAATGTTGTTAGCCGATCGCTCGAAAACCTCATCGTACGCTTCAATCCCTTGCATAGCTAGTGGATAGCGATAAAACGAAACTCTTGTACGAGACGTGCACGTGTGCGGTTCGAAGCGAGGAGGAGGAGGAAAAAAAGGGTAAGTTGCCTCGCGAGAGAAACTTAAATATATGCGTGCACGCGGCGGGACTCGTCTACAGGGACCAACATACGTTAGGTAAGTGAATGGAAAAAAGCGGGGGAGGGTAAAAAAAAAAGAGAGAGATAGGAAGAGTCACTGTGCCATGCAGCTCGTGCCATTGCGCCGTTCGCATTAGTAACGAGCTTTTGCGCACGGGTATATACCGTGCGATCAGCTATACTCGTGCATTTTTCATCGAAATTCTTCGATTATTTCAACGCGCGCGGGCAAAATCAAGTCTGCATGCGCGAGCACTGATCGATCTCTTTTTCTCTCTCGCTCTTGCTCTCGATCGCGAATAACGCACGTGCAGCGAGGAGCGCGCAGTTTTGCGAATGAATTCGTAGAATTCAGAGTACGCCGAGCGCAACAGCCAAGCCAACTACCGTATACTGCATACGACTGGCCTGGCAGACAGTTGGAATTTAGGACGTACGCGTCCAAGTTCCAGTGGTCTGCTGCACATGTCAAAGCGTACGCGCGATAAAATCTTCGCTTTACTCTCTCCCGCGCTCACCCTCGTTCCATCTTTTCATCGTGCATATAGGTGGTATACAAGAGAGGTGGACTTACCCTGCTTAACGTCTCGCCACGTATTCGTGATTTCGACGACGTTCTCTACGATGCTGTTCGCTGCTAGCAGGCACTCGTTACCAAAGCCCCGTCCAGCCACAGCATCGGCCAGTCCATTCACATGATTGTTTGTCGCTGTATTACCTGCGAGCTGCACCTTTTCTCCTCCTTATTCAATAGCTCGGCAATTTCTGCCTCCGATTTTCACTTATCTGCAAAAGAAGCAATTAATAAGCTTTTGTCGGAGTTTAATTGGCCATAAAATAGCCCAAGTCCGAGTTGGACTTTCGAGAAACACGTTAATTCAGTAACACTTGCGCGGGCTGCTGCCTTGGATATGCATAAACGCAGCAGCTTGCGGCGACGCGTATATATTAATAAAGCTAATATTGCTTTTCGTCACGTTTGCACAGATTTGGGATTATTTTCATTTTTAAATCTTTTTCTCCGAGATATTTGCGCAAGACAAAGATATTTCTTTGAATTTGGAGAACAGTAATCCTATGTCTTACTCAAACAGTTTACATATCATACATGAAAAAAAAGTTGTATCTAGAATCTGTAGTATTAATTTTTATGTTGAAAAGCTCAAAAATTCGATTTTTATCAGTTACAATAAATCAATTGAAATTTAGCTTTTAAAAGTCACGACACTTGATATGCAATGGCTTTTACTATTTTTTTTTTTTTTTTTCAAATAATATGATAGTTAAAGTGATTGAACTCGGTTTTAAAAGAAAAAAATTTTTCAATTAATTATTGAGTGCAAACTTTACAACAGTCTATTCACTTACAATAATTAATCATTTGTCGTAAAATTAAGTCCTTATTAGAATCAATATGTTCAGGTAGTTAAATATAGCAGTAAAGAGAAATTTTGATCTGCGTTTGCACAGTGAGTCATGAAAAGCTTTATAGCATATTCAGCAAAGAGTGAAGAACCATACATATACTTTGGTATTAAAATCGAAAGTATGAAAGCTGGTCGCACCCAAAACTGATTATAATAATTCTCTACTAAAATACTCAAACTAACGCATTATTTAACCATTATTGTCGTGTATAAACGGCTCTTTGTTAACTCAATCGTGCGGTATATTTTTTTTTTCACACCGGCAGCGCACAATAAGCTTGGAGAATTTGCTGGGCTTAAACGAAGACCTCGAACGAACATACATTCAGCTCATGATTATAATGTGTATTGGGCCAATGCTTCCATCGTATTACCTTTCTTTTGCATTACGAATTTGCCCTGTCAATTATCGACTGTTTCATTAACTGCCGTGTCATTGGTCAATTCAAAACTCTATAACAGAGACTGATTCCAAGTGAAAAAAATTGTAACATGTTTCAAAATTTACACAGTAAATTTATCTGTTTTCTTGTTTTCAATCAACAAAAAACTCGTAAGAATAAAAAAGTCATAAATAGGGTACCTATTGATATCCAAAGAATATTTTACAGATGCACTTTACAACTTTTTTATCTTGTTTTTAGATGCAGATATAGATAGTAAATTAATTTAAAAAATTAGCTGATTTTTCAATATTAATTATTAAATGATAAACAACATCGCTGTAGTTTATTAATACAATTCATTTATTCAAAATTTGAAACATATTTCATTAGCTTAATTAAATTATATTTCTACTTCAGAACTCCTTTAATTTTGTACAGTCAACAATAACATGAAAATTCCCCGTTAACCGACAGAATAATATGTAATACAATAACATGAGATATAATTATGAGACCAAGGCTTGCTGTAAATAGGAAACTGCGATCAGTCGGTTTTTAACTATTGACAGGAGGGAATTAAGTAAATCAAATCTTAACAATCTCAGCCTTTAAAAATGTCGCGCTTTATGTCAGCGTTCCAAAAAAATCCAAGGACCACCGAAGGACCAATGCCCAGACCTACATCCTACACATCGCCCGAGCCTTCGGAAGCAGAAACAATAACCCCCGCTTCGGTGTCTGTAAACTGCACGCCAGCCCAATGCGAGACCGATTCGCCCCCGCAACAAGCCGATTCGACGAACGAGTTATCTTTCAACGTAAGTAAAGCATTGTCGCATTTTTACAAAGTTTACCGATGGATTAAAATAAACATCCGAATTTTTTTGGTGTTCTTAGCCAAGATTGAATCACGCATCCAACAACTTTTACTTGGTGCAACTTCTTTGTGTGGTGGTGTTTTTCTTGTTATTTTTAACCGTTTTATTTCTTGCTATAGCTCTTATGTAGAGGTTTCATGACTTAATTAGTTACTTATGTAAACTTATACACTTTTATTAATATATAAATATAATTATATAGATTTATATAAATATGACAAATATTATATTTATATACAGATTCATATTATATTAAGATTAAAATATCTAATCATGTCAATTTATTTAATTTTCACATTAGTTGTTTTTTAAAATTAGTTGTGTAATTGACTATTGCTCTGACTGTTAAAATGAAATGGGACTATAATTAATGTAAAATAAAATTGTAAATGTATTTTTATCAAAATCGCTTATTTTTGAAAATGATACCACAACCACCACAGCTACTACTAATTTTTGGTCTAGCAATGTTGACAAGTAGTCGGAGATCATCAGCTGGGAAAAACTCAAAGGCGCTGCTGACGCGTCATTGCCTCTAGCAGTTTCGCACTTACAATTAAGCTCACGTACATAAACGTATACGGCCGGCGAAGCTATCTGATACGCAGCTGTAACGTCGTGACAATCTACTTTCTCTTTGATTATGTTCCCCTAATACGCCCGATCGAAAAACCACGTGGTAAGATGCGTCATGCGATGCGCGTTCGACTATTTTTCTGATTTATACAAAGCAAAATAGAGAGCTGTCAAAACAAGTCGAGGTTAGTATATATAATATTTTACTAGTTTCAATAGTTGCACTTATTAATCAATTGGAAATTATCTGTCGAAATTATAATATATAAGCGCTATTTAGTAATTTAATTTGCAGTTTTTTCAATAGAGTTTTATTAATATAACTGTCGAATTCAAGTTTCTTTTCAAATTGTAGATACTTCTATTATCTCTTGTTTATTGATGACTTTTGGGGAATGCTCTTAACAATAAAATATTTCAAAATAAAATATTACCTATTATAATGTTACTTTACGATACTCAGTTGAATTCTAAGTGCTCTTGATTGTAATTGAAACGATCAACTTTATTTAAAGTGAATAGTTAACGAGTAGTGATTTTAAAACCGTATATCGAATATCTATAAGTGGTATGCCGGGGAAATAAATGTTTAAGAGAGGATCCGTTGTTGCAGCAAGTGCATATGTATAACAATAATACGCATAGAGATTACAATAAAAAAAAAAGCTCTCAATGCGCACCACGTTCGGTCGTGTAAAACATACTCATACCGCACATAGACTTTTATTTCTCATTGTAAACAGTTGGTTGAAAACCGAAGTACTCGAGCGAATATTATACACGCGCAGCTGTATCGCAACGCACTTCCGACGCTTCGGATAATGATGCTGCTGCGCTACTGCTGCTTTTCTTACAGGAATATAATAACTTTTTCTTTCACCCAGGCTGAACGGTGTAACGAGCAATTTCATTTGTTAGACGTACGGCAGAAAAAGTTTCGACAAAAAAAATTTCCCACGCCTGCTATTCAAAAGTGCTGTGCGCGGTGTACATGCACCGCACAAAAGCTTGTCTGATTATTTGCGAGCTTTATTCACGCTACAACGCCAAGTATATATATACCCGTACACATCTGGAAGAGTATATAACGATGCATGCTGCAGCCTTTGCGTATCGATTGAGAACTTTACAAAAGGATTAATAACAACGTGTTACAAAGTTTCTTCCTACTCTGCGTTTTTTAATGATCTAATAAAATTTCAATTCACGAAAAATATATAAAGCCGGCTTTTACATATTTACAGAGTTGGATCGTCGGATAATTACAATTTCAAAACCTTTATTGACTTTTCGGTTACTTTTCTCGAGAAGATCTATAAAAAAAAAATTGAAATAGAAATTAAAATAACCAGGGACGTCCATCAGAATTGGAACTTATATATTTCTCGAAGCGAAGTCTTGAATATTTCTAAAAATAATAGAGCAAATCCAGCTCGATATCGTCGAAGAGGAGAATAATGTGGGATATGATTTATTCGGTATGGTATTATGTTCACTAGGACACGGTTTATACTCGTCAATTACGTTAGATGCACAGTAGCCAGTATATGCATTATCGGTCCCTCGTGAAATCTCCGAAGCGCGTGTATATAGACACGTACTACACTTACGCAACTGTGCCCGATCATTACAGCCACGATGATCCCCTTCGTGCATAATGTAGTTTGCGCGCTTGAAAGACAGACGGAGATAGAGAGATGAAAATTTGTATCAAAACACGTATATATAGCGACCGATACACTTTTGACCTTGTTTTGCTCGCCGCGACGAGCACGTCTCGTCGGTGCTAATCCACACTTTTTATATCGCGAAAAAATATTACGCTGGCTCGAGCTTAATTGAATGCTCGTGCGTGAGCAAGATATGAAAGCCGAAGATTTGCCTAATGTTCTCACTTTTCAAAGAGGCAAATAATATCTTAGGAGATTTGGCCCCGTCAAAGAAGAGATTTACACGGGGCATAAGCTGCGAGATGTGTAAGGATATATATAGGCATTACGGCTGCTATGAATCCGAGCTTTTTTCTTCCTTTCTCGCGCGCGCGCTCGCTTTCGCCGATGACAGTTCTCGGCGCGAGAGATATGCTGTACATGCTCTATGCAAGCGAGGAGAGATATCTGAAAAGCCGACGAACAGATTTATCCCTCTCTTACATATTACGTGACTTTGAGAGAGCGCTTCAAAACGATATGGAGAAAACTTTTGATTTTTACGGGAAAAAGTGATAAAGGTGTTGGGCGATAGAGGGTGAGAAAGAAAGAAAGGCTCGAGACAGCGACGAGTAGGCACTCGTGAAAAAGTTCCGATTCATTTGAATATTACGCGACTTTTTCTTTATTTTCGAGGGAGGAGGAGGCTGGAAAATATCGCGAAATTTTCCCGATAAACCAATGAGTCAAGTCGCTATCTCATTCTTTCGAGGCGAAAGTGCGGAAACTTTAATCGACCTTTCTTGCTCTCTCTCTCTCTCTCTCTCTCTCTCTCTCTCTCTCTCTCACTCGGCGAATAAATTGCTTTTTAGCATATCGGAAAAAGAAAGACGGCGAGTACGAAATTGTATTTCACGATAAGTATTCGCGAGAGCCGCTAAAAATCCTCCTCGTAAAATAACCTCGTAACTCTTGTCGAGTACATGGGAGAGGGCAATTGATATCTCTCGAGCGCGGTGATTCGAAATAATTTCGATCACTTACACATCCCGGCCGGACGATGTATAAACAAGAAAAAGTCTTGGCAAGGTCAAATAAAAGCTGCTGCGGTTACTTTTTTTACTATTGTTCTGCCGCCGCAGCCACAGCCACAGAAGTACCGGACGAAACTATAGCGCAGCCACTGCTACAGCCACGGCGTATATGTCTTTCTAAAAAGTTTTTTCATCTCGCTGACAGCTGAGGAGCTCGCGAGCGTACGGTAAATTTTACACTGGCTGCAAGCTCATACATTGGCTGCACTTTCTCTTTCTTAGTTTTATACTGCAAGTTCTGGCGAGCGCGAGCAAGCGATGTATACACCCGCGCTTACACGAATTTATGAAGCGAATAAAATTGCACGATTTCGTCAAATTCATCATAATATGAAAGGCTTAAATTATGCCAGAAGCTCTTCATGTAACCTACATAATATTACGAACGTATGTGTCGAGAGTGAGGGAGAGAGAGAGAGAGAGAGAGAGAGCTTGCACTTCGGAGACATAAGGTCGTTAAATCAGTCATTTCGTCGAAACGTCGCTGCCTGAGTTGGGGCATTTTACATTAAACGCCTTATACATATATACATGAGCGTAACGTATAGTAGGTTGTCTCAAGAAATGTGCTCGCGCGTATATATGCATTGGATCTATATATCTACTTGCAGATACTCATGCATGCATGCATGCCTGCCTGCATACGCTCCGACGACTGACGGGCTTATATGTATAGGTAATTCAGGAACCTTTGATGGACAGTTATATGCAGCGAGTACTTATGTAACTCGCTGGGCTATATGTACCCGCGCGCGCGTGTTCAGCTGTACACATAAACATCTCCGGAAAGGGACACTGAAAATACGGCTAGAGAGAGAGGCAATGAAATATTACGCGTTTACCAAGTTGATTATACATTTTCTCGAGCGAATTTTTTCCGCCCGCAACGCAATTAAAAATTTGTCCGGCTTTTTATAAAGGATAAACAAGTGACGGTTACGAAATTAAAGAGTGCCCCCCCCCCCCGTAAAGACGACCGAGATTATTTTGAAAAAACGCAAAATTTTCCTTCAGAACTTTCATTTGCCTTTGAGTTTAGAGACGTGCGCACGAGCGCAAGCATGTATGCGATAGAGGCAATGAAATTGCTTTGAGATTTATGCATACAAAAAAAAAACTGGCACAATGACGAAAGATACTGACAGCATGCACGAGGAGAACTAGGGGGAAAAAAACATTAAGAGTTTGAAAAGACTCGATTGAAAAATTGGACTAGAGAAGCGAAATCTTTTAAGCTTTGAAACAATTTGCGAAATAATTTCAAATTCAATTTAAAACACATATTCCTTTTTTCTATGTCACTCCATCTATTTGTAAGTTTTTGAATCCAGAGCTATTTGCCTTTCTTTTTGTGTAAAAAAATACTTTTGTCCAAAAAGCTTCATTCAATATTTAACGATTCCCTAATCCTTCATGATCCAACTTAGCCTTTGGAAACTTTTCAAAACATTTACTTTTCTTTCCCATGTGCAGCTAGTAGTTTTCTTATACATAGGTATACGTAATGTTTAAGTTTCTTGCAGCTACTTTTCATGAGCGACTCATGAACTTCTAAAGCATTTTCACAGTATACATCGCAATTTTTTTTCCTTCCGTGATTTACACCTTTTAATTCGACTTTCTCGGAAAAGATCTAAAAACTTTTCTCTGTTTCTCGCCTTTATAGATTCACTACTACTTGCGATGTTCTTCACTATAATCTCGCAATGATCAAATGAATAGCCAAATTCGGGAAGCATATCGAAAACGATATATTTCACGCGAGCTCGAGAGGGGGAGGGGGTAGTAAAGTTGAAAAAGGAAGTACTCTGGCTGCGCACTCGCGCAAACCGGATTAAAGAAAAATGAGTTGCGCAGGCATGCCCGTGAAAAGAAGTGAAAGAGAGAGAGAGAGAG